TACAAAGCCGGGACGGAGCACGCCGGGTTCTCACCGGACCAGGCTCTCACATCACCAAGCGCGAAGCGCCGTGAGGTATTTGGCGAGTCGCATGAAGGGTGAGCTGCATCCTGCTAAGGGTGTTCGGCATCTTGTGCTTACTTCCTTGCGTTCGGATGACAGCTACGTATGACTTAATTTATTTTCTGGTGCTTTCACTTCCAGAGACAGTTGTAAGCACTGTGTAACTGCCTCGAGGAAGCTTGACCATTTTAACACAACGTGGTGCGATCATCCCCCGTTGCGCGAAGTGAGGTTTCTCGACCCCGCACAACATGATCTACTCGACCACCATTATGGTTACCGCCAAAAAAAAAACCAGAGGTAAAAAAAAAAGACGGTAACCTGGTTGCCGAGTTCACGAAGTGAATTGGCTTGTTTTACAACGTCGTTGCCAAGCGACGAAAACCCAATCCCGATGGCAAACACCGAGTGGGGGGCTTGTTTTACAACGTCGTTGCCACGCGACGAAAACCCAAACCCCGATGGCAAACACCGGGGGGGGCGGCTTGTTTTACAACGTCGTTGCCAAGCGACGAAAACCCGGGGGGGGGGGAGGGAGAAAGGATAGACGTATTTCGTGCTTTAACCCTGCCGCTTGCGACGACCACTACATGGTTGATTGTTTCCGTGCTCCCGCGGGGTGTTCTACCCGTCCAGACTTGCTTACGCTACCCTTCTTCTTGCAAGACCTTCGCTAACCTGCAGACGCCATCATCGCAGCGGGCCCGCCACCGATATCGTCCCCGCGCATGCGCTCGTCCTCGTCTTCGCTAGTCATGACCCAAACCATGCCGGCACCGCCGAGTGAAGCGCAGACCAAGTTGTACCTGATTTGAGTCCATAGGCGAGAAAGCATTTTCCGTGATTACCGACACCGCGCACGCGGTAGTCTCTGGTCTGGACCGTGGTTGTTTGGCTCATCATGTGTGAGTTCGGCGCGACCTGTCCCGTTTCCCAATTTTGTTGTAGGTTGTCATCCACCCAAGGGGAGACGAACGGTAACGCTAACGGTTCTCGAAACAGGCTGCTGTTGGTCACGACGACCCCCCCCTCGCTTTTCCAAGCAAAGTAAAACTGCCAAGCTATGCTACATACTTCAAAGGGTCTACCCGCACGGAAGAGCACAAAGTAACGCTTTGGAGCGCAAAGAAACGCTTCTATTCACCTGACAGAAGTAGCAGGTGCATGGTCTTTCGGTTAACTCGATATATCAAACCGTGTCATGTGTACTCTTTGCCGTCCCGTACCAACAGGGGGACGACACTATCGGTGTAAAAGGCCTAGTCCCGGGAGAATCAGCAATACATTGGGAGGGGGGGGGGGGGGGGGGGCCCTCCCCCATCGGGGAAAAAGGGGAAAAAGCAATCAAAAGGAACCCTGGGGGGGGGGTCTCTTGACCCCCCCCCCAAAATTTCTTCCCGGGGGGGCCCCCCCCAAAAAACCAAAACCCCCCCCCAAAAAAAAATACCCCCCCCAACCCCTAGGG